GTCTTCGTCCTTCGTCGTCTGTCGTCTTCGTCGTCTTGTCGTCTTCGTCGTCTTCGTCTTCAGTCGTCTTCGTCTTCGTGCGTCTTCGTCCTTCGTCGTCTGTCGTCTTCGTCGTCTTCGTCTTCGTTCGTCTTCGTCTTCGTCGTCTTCGTCTTCGGGTCGTCTTCGTCCTTCGTCGTCCTTCTGCTTCGTCCGTCTTGCGTCTTCGTCTTCGTCGTCTTACGTCTTCGTCTCGTCTTCGTCTTCGTCTTCGTCTTTCGTCTTGCGACTTCGTCTTCGTCTTCGTCTTCGTCTTTCGTCTTTCGCTTCGTTCTTCGTCTTCGTCTTCGTCTTCGTCTTTCGTCTGCTTCGTCTTCGTCTTCGTCTTCGCTTTCGTCTTCGTCTTCGTGCTTCGTCTTCGAAGACGAAGACGAAGACGAAGACGAAGACGAAGACGAAGACGAAGACGAAGACGACGAAGACGAAGAAGACGAAGACGACGAAGACGAAGAAGACGAAGAAGACGACGAAGACGAAGAAGACGAAGAAGACGACGAAGACGAAGAAGACGACGAAGACGAAGAAGACGACGAAGACGACGAAGACGACGAAGACGACGAAGACGAAGACGAAGACGAAGACGAAGACGAAGACGAAGACGAAGACGAAGACGAAGACGACGACAACAACAGTGGCGTTGGCAGTGATGGTGGCGATGGTGCGGCTGCGGCTGGGCGGTAGTGATGGTGGTGGTGACGACCGGCGCGCCGACCGCCTCCTGGCGGTGGCCAACGCCTCGTAGACCTAGCCCCCTCACCAGGACTAGGCGGCGGTCGACGGAACAGGATTCCGAGAAGTTGATAAAAAGAAACTTTTCTGTTTAATGATCAGTGATAAAATAGATAGTTGGAAATGAATAGTTGGATATCATCTATCTTTTATATTTTCGCTAATAATGTATTTCAAATACCTTTCTATTAAAAGCTGATGAACATTCATAAACTTGATTAAATGCAATTATGTGAAGTGGATGTTTCGTTTAAGTGTGTGTACTATTAATGGGGTCTAAAAATAAAATTCAGTACTTAATAAAAATATATTATGTAAAATTATTTTGGTAATGCTAGAGGACGACTCAGAAGATCTTGAGATACACTTTCAAATAATTAATAAATTGAGAAGGAATATTATTCGACCTACAAAATTCTGCCACAAATGTCGCAGAATGTGGTATACATTCCATTATAATGAACAGATCAAAACCAGTTTATACCAGTGACATTACTGGTTTTACTAGAATTACTGACATAGAAGTTGAACTGTTCGAGCGTTATATCATCCCACAAGCAATGACTTCATCCGGGAGCTTTTGCCAGCTTCAAGGGATACCGATTTCGAATATGCGTATCGGGTATCCACTATGTCCTGCATGAGGACACACGTTAACCTTTACCCCAGACACTGACACATGCTGGCTTCTCGGTCTGTAGTCAGCAGACTTACAAGGCCTCTCTCGACAAAACACATGCATGAAAGGCAAGGGAGAAACAACCATGCCCACGGCGGGACTCCAACCCGCGACTGAGTAAGCACCTCGGCCTTAATGTTCGGCGAGCAATATCTTCGACTAATCTATCTACAATGTGACCAATTTCTTGAAATAATTCAATATTCAAACAGCTTAGTTGTTTGAGGTTTCGTAGTATAAATCCCAGATTTCTGCGAAGGATTGCGTATAGTCACTTCCATAAGTGAACTAATTTAAAAAAATATCTGTATTACTGATACCTTTTATGATGCAGTCTACATTGTCACAATTTGACTTAAAATTAGGCCAAACTACTAATCTTTTGAATACATGTACGTGTATGAATTAAAGTTGAAATGTAAAATAATATATTGCATTTATAAATAAATATCTAGCTTCCGTAATAAAGGTGTAGGACAGGTTCCAAAAAATATGCGAAATATAGTTTCGAAATCTTAGAGACGAAAATTGAACCTGGACAGTATTTTGCAAGTGTTCTTTGCTGAATTAGAGGAAATATAAATGATTTTGATCAATTTTTGTGAAAATTTAGAGAGTACATATATAGTACTCTCTTTTTCAAGAGAATAAGCAAAAAATATCAAAAAGATTCCTTTCAAATTCCCAAAGGATTCAGTTTAACCAGATTGACTAGGGGATTTCAATTTGGGACAAATCCGGTACGTTTTAGCTGTTAGTGTAGTTCACAGACGGACGGACAATCAGAGTCGCAAACGCGTTGCATATCATTCAGTATAATGATACAAGTGCCTAAACACATAAATAATTTTGATGGATCGTGAACTATGATGAGAGATTATAATGATGCTGGAGCAATGTTGGAATGAATGGCAGTTTAAACGACAGAACTCCGGAGCAATCTGGCGCGTACCCGCTTGGGCCACTACAAATTACTCTTGATCAATTGAGATTTAAACGCCAAAAAACAGCTGCTGAAGGCGAGCGGACTTATAAGCGACATAGGAGGCCATCCTCCAACCAGATGAACAGACACTTACTCAGACGTCACAGACGGACATTATCATTAAATTTACAAAGTAAATAAATTTGCAAAATAAATAAACAATAGTTTGACACAGGGAAATTCCTGGAATATTCACATAATATTCAAGAAATTGATTTAGAAAAGTTTATTAAGTACAGCAGAAGGATGAAGTTTGTATAGTTATAACCGTTTTGATGATTTTCTTTTCGCGTTTGATGATAAGTTTTGTATTCGCACGCTGACACACTGCTTCAATTTCCACTCTTCCACAAAAGCTGTTCTAAGAGTAAGCATTTGATATTTCAAATTTATAACTCAAACGATTATTTATTGGTGTCTACTGTTGCTATTTGACGAACATTCAACTTAGTTTGTGGATAAATTCTATTTGACGTTTCAAATTTCCCATATTGACTTACATAAAAAAAATGACAATGGCACCATCTATTCCCTTTACTAGCATAATTTTTGAATTGATTTTCCCGTAATGTGTATCGAGTTTTGCACGAACAGTGCTCTAAACGAAGGGGTTGCAATCCTTCCGCTTTTGTCATTCCATTCCATATCTGAATGAGCTTTAGCGCTCAAAAACACTCAAAACAAACGCATAATATGGAGTGCGTCCATTTAGGGCCGAGATTGGACCGTTTTACGCGTTGCTCCAATCAGAAACTGGAAACGCTTAGGGTGGAACAAATGCGAAGAAAGCTGGCAAATTATCGGATACTGCCTCTACTTATCGATAATACACATACCCTGTGTCAGTAGACCCTGTACCATTCTACGATAAAGATTAAGAATTTGCTCACGTCTGAGCGGGGCCTTTCAAGGCTATTGGCTAACATCAAGATTAAAGGAGAAGGGCGTAACATCGCGCATTTCGAAGCAATGAAGCCAAGAAGCACTCAGACCGTGACGCGCTGTGAGAGCGCGAGTGAAAGGGGATTGTAAAAGGTGGTCGGAGGTATTATTGTATTATGCTCAAATTAAGATTAAAGTATACATTTCAGGGAGTTATCGTATATTACAAAAGACGATTATATATTACGGTTCAACGCAGATTTAAAATTATTGAAGAAAGCAACATGAAATTACGAAGTTCCTAGTTGGATATAAATATCCACTACGAAAGGATTTTTCAAAACGGGTCCCCTGAAAGGGCTAAAATATTGTTTTTTGTATTTGCGCAAATGTGTTAATGCAATCAGGTGTTATGGTTTAAGGGGAACGGAGGGAGAGGGGGGAGGAAGAGGAGGGGGAGGGGGAAATGGAGGGGGAGAAGGAGAGAGCAGGCACAACGGGGTGTGGACGGGAAGAAAATATAATTATTATTTCCATTTTAGAATATTCATAGAATTATTTTTACCGCCTTATTGATTATTGTGATAAATTCGTATTTGGGCAAACCCGGATTAAGTCAGGTGGTTTTTATTATGGATTTATAATAATACATATATCGTTTTTGT